TTTAAAGGCGTGCGCCCCCACTGGCTGGGATAGGATCTTTATTACATCTGTGTAGCCCAGCCTGACTTCAGTCCTGAATGCCTCCATAACCAACTTCTGTCCTACCTTTCCGTCCCTTTCCTGATCTCAGTGCTTCCCCACTTTTCTGTTCTCGTGGCCAAGAGGCTTTTATGTGGGTTCTAATCATTAAGTCTTGCTGGGTCTGTTTCATTTATTCAAAATATAAATGGAGTGAGTACCACTTCTGCACAAGTCTGGTCTCTGAAGTTGTTGTCAGTGAGCAAGATAGCTCTAGTCCCTGCTCTCCTGCAGATTACAGTGGAGATGAGAAGCAGCCGTTCGTGCATTTAATTCAGTAAATACTTACTGAGTGCCTGTTTTCCGGGTCCTGCTTGCCTAGCAACTAAAGGGAATAATGGAAATTGTTTAATTATATAATTGTTTACTCCTAATCTTGAACTTTAAGGAAAAGGTGGTATCTCTCCACTGGGGGTTATTTCCGGAAGCACTGCTTCTCAAGCACATATGGATACTTCTTCTTCTTGTAGAAAAGGGATCACATTGCCTGCAGGCAGCCCGTGTACAGTCTCCTGTCTGTTTAAATAGTTAAAGCATTTATTTGTGTGCAGGCGCATGTGGAGGTCAGAGGACGACTTTGGGGAGTTTGTTCTCCATCCACCTTCACTTGTGTCCCAAGGACTGGTCTTGACAGCAAGCACCTCGCCGCTGGTGGCCTCTCCTGTGTACTTTAGCTTACGTATGACACATTTTATACAGTGTAGGTGTTTAGGGAATCATGGTGGTTCTGTATCTGTTCAGCACAAGTACTTTTATTTCTGAGCATTTTCAGTTCATAATTGGCTGAATCTATGACTGCAGATCCCTCACATTCCAAGGGTGGTGACCCCAGAAGCTGTGAGAGGCTAGAGTAATTGTGCAGTCACACTCAGAACCGAGGCGAACGCCAGTCAGGGAGACACCTTGAGGAAGAACCATCCAATAGTGGAGTGAGTTGGCCAAGTACAAGAATTCAGATGGAACAGGGCAGGAAGAGAGAGGGCTTGCTCACTGCAGTCACTTACAAAGTTGTTGGCTGCTATGGCAACTCAGGGATGAGATTCTGTTCTGATCTCTCACTCAGTGATGGACCTGGACCTTATGATGGAGACTGTGCAGTGCTTCCCCTTCAGTGTTAGTTTTGAAGTTTCCATTTGTAAAGTTAGCACGTGTACATGAGAGGACAGTTAGCCATGTAAATGAAGTGTCGGATGAGTGGTGAACTCACAGAATACTGGCCTTTAGAGAAGGGCACTGTTGGGATGAGTGTAGAGGATTGTGGAGGACCTTGGAGGAGGGAGTGAGACTTGAATTAAAGAAGAGAGAGGCTTGGGAGAGCAAAGAACGGAACTAGACATTTCCAGTAAAGGAAGAAAAAGGCACAGGAAAGGGGCAGGAACTGGAGCCACTGAGGCTGAGCGTGCTGTGCCTGTGGGCCTCGGCTGGCCCTCCTGCTTGCCTGGGCACTGGGGCTTTCCAGTGAGGGGCCTCACGGAGCACCAAGGTGCACGTCTGAGTGACTAGTTCAGGGGATACAGAGCACAGCCTGTGTGGCAATGGCGGCGGGGGGGGGGGGGGATTATCCATGAATACGGGAGTGAGCACTTGTGCGAGGCCCTCTTAGAAGTTGGAGAGAAGAAAGCAGGGGAGCGTCAGTACCCCTCCCTTCCCTATCTAGTAAACTAGCTGAGAGGCCAGACCCCTTCTAAACCTTATTTGTTTTGTGTAGCTCTAGAGTATTGGTTCTCAACATACGGGTCGAAAACCCCTTCAAAGGGGTCGCATAAGATATTTATGTTATGATCATAACAGCAAAATTACAGTTATGAAGTAGCAATAAAAATAGTTTTATGGTTGGGGATCACTGAACATGAGGAAATGTGTTAAAGGGTCGCAGCGTTAGGAAGGCTGAGATCACTGATCTAGAGCTAAGTAAGAATGCTGGGTTTTTTGCTTTGTTTTGTTTTTTAGTTTTTATGTGCATGTGGAGGGCAGAGACTTGAGAGTCTGTGAGGGTTAGAACTGAGCTCAGAGCGCGGAGCGGCTCCTCACAGTGGTTCTCATTTGTTTCCTGTGTGGATTGAGCCCAGAACCTCAGGCGTGGTAGACAAACACTGACTGAGCCACAATTGTGGCCTCATTTTTTGTTTGTTTATTTATTTTTTCTTTTTTTTTCTTTTCCTTTTTTTTTCTTAGTAAAGCTCTCAAGTAGCCCAGACTGGCCTCAGGTTTTCTGTATAGCTAAGATGACTGAATGACCTCGAATTTATTGTTTTATATTTGAGGCAGAATTTCACTATATAGCCCTGACTGTCCTGGAACTCTCTATGTAAATAAATGTAAACCAGACCGATACCAGACTTAGAGAAACTGAACTGCCTCTGCCTCCCAAGCCCTGAGATCAAGGCTCAAGGCCACCACCCCTGGGCCAACCTTGAATTTTTGATCCAGGCATTAAGATTACTGGCACACCCGGTTCTTTTCCTTTTGGGAATAGAAACCAGGGCTTCGTGCCTGCTGGGAAAACCCTACCCACTGAGCTGTGTGTTCCCTGTTCCAGTTCTTAGACTTTTAATTGATCTTTTTCAAATCAAAATATTTCATAATGCATGAAAATAAGGTGAAATTTAAACTTGAGTGTCCATAAATGTTTTTGGAAAATGGCAGTGTTCAGTTACTTGTCTGTGGCTACTTTGAACGTGCAGGGCAAGGGTTGTGTAGTAACAGAGACCTTAAAGTCCAAAATATGCTCTCTTTGACACTTGGCAGAAAACTGTCCATCCTTGACTTACACCCGTCCGTGGCTCAACCAATCTCCTTTTCTGAAACAGAATGGCTGCTGTCTCCTCTCTGAGCTCGGTCCTTCTACCCAGGCTTTATTTTGTAATCTTTGTGCCAAGATCCAACCAGGGTTCCCACCATGTCTTCCGTCTTTTTTTTTTTTTTTCAAACTAGTACAGGACTCTGTGTAGTCCTAGCTGTCCCAGAACTTGCTTTGTAGACTGTTCAAGACTGGCCTACCTTTGCTTCTCAAATGCTGGGATTAAAGTTTTGTGTACTGTAGATAGCTCCCACCATGTTTTAAGCAAACACTCTATCACTAAACTGCCCCCCCCCCCCCAATTCGATGGGGCTTTTCAATACTGTCTGTCTCTTCCGGGTGCTCCTTTTTAATACTGTCTCTCTCTTCCGTGTGCTCCTTTTAAATACTGTCTGTCTCTTCCGGGTGCTCCTTTTGAGGCCTTCGTTTAACTTTCCTCCAGGACGTTTTCTTTTGTTGGGTGCTAGGGGTGTAATAGCTCAGACACTGAGATGGAATCTTGTTATACAGCCTTGGCTAGCCTCAAACTCACAGAATTCCTTCTGCTTCAGCCTCCTGGGCGCTAGAATTACAGGTGCGCATCACCCCCTAGCTCTCCTGGGGCTGTTTCCCTCTAAAAGTAAGCCCTCAGCTCAGTCCAGAAGTACTGGTCCTGGCTCTGCCCACTCTGCTTCTCCTTTCATTTCACCACCACCCAGACTCCAGCCCCAGCACTGCAGAGTCTCGCTGAATCATCAGAGAATCCGTGTGTGTGTGTGTGTGTGTGTGTGTGTGTGTGTGTGTGTGTGTCCAGCACTGCAGGGTCTCTCTGAATCATTAGAGAATCCTGTGTGTGTGTGTGTGGTGTGTGTGTGTGTGTGTGTCCAGCACTGCGGGGTCTCTCTGAATCATTAGAGAATCCGTGTGTGTGTGGTGTGTGTGTGTGTCCAGCACTGCAGGGTCTCTGAATCATTAGAGAATCCATGTGTGTGTGTGTGTGTGTCCAGCACTGCAGGGTCTCTCTGAATCATTAGAGAATCCGTGTGTGTGTGTGTGTGTGTGTGTGTGTGTACACGGGGGGGGGGGGGATGACAGTGGTTTTTCCCTGGCTTTTACTTTGTTTACTCTGACCTTTGTTGTTTTGATTGTTTTGTTTTTCACGAGACCTTTTTTCTTTTAGCTGCTGTGACTTTCTTTGCTCTAGCTCTTTCCCGCACTGGCCTACCAAGTCTTACTAGTTAGTGCTTTAGATGCTGCTTCCTCTTTTTGTCTGTCCTTTGTCCTGGGAGCTTTTTTATAGGATACTTTATGTATCAGTTGCTGTATTAAAATACTTTACACAAATTATCCTTAATCCTTTTTTTTGTTGTTTTGCTTTTGTTTTTCAAGCCAGGGTTTCCTCTGTAGATCAGGCTTGCCTTGAACTTAGAGAGATCTGCCTCCTAGGTTCTAGAATCAAAGGTGTGTGCCCCCCCTCCAGCAAATTTTTCTTAAACAGCTTTTATTTTATATATTTTTAAAAGTTCATGCCAGGTGGTGGTGGCGCAATCCTTTAATCCCAGCATTGGAAGGCAAAGGTAGGCAGATCTCTGTGAGTTCGGGGACAGACAGGGCTACTCACAGAGAAACCCTATCTTGAACAAAAATATGTATATATATATATATATATATATATATATATATATAATTTTTAGCTACACATGTGTTTATGACTGTGTGAGGATATTTGCAGGGGAAGTGCAGGTGCCCATGGAGGCCATCGATAACAGAACCTCCTGTGAGCTGCCTGATGTGGATTCAGAGAGAGCTCAGGTCCTCTGTGAAGCAGTGCATGCTCTTAACTGCTAGGCCATCTCTCCAGCTGCCAACAGCAGCTTTTCAAAAGATAGACTCGGGGTAGCTCAGTTGGTCAAGCACTTGCCGTCTTACACAAAACCCAAGGTTTGCTCCTCAGCACAGCATACAAACCTAGGTGTAGTGATACATACATGTATGTATTCAGAAGGCAGAAACGGGAGGATCAAAAGTTTAAGGGCTACAAGTTTACAGTCAGCTTATGCTTCATGAGCCCCTGTCCCAGGGTGGAGAGGTGAGATCTGGACAGCTGTTTCCCCACTGATAAGGTATCCATGTCCTCCATCAGGTCAAGCGGTACCAGTGCACCTTTGAGGGATGCCCCCGCACCTACAGCACAGCAGGCAACCTGCGCACCCACCAGAAGACTCACCGCGGAGAGTACACCTTCGTCTGTAACCAGGAGGGCTGCGGCAAGGCCTTCCTCACCTCCTACAGCCTCAGGATCCACGTGCGAGTGCACACAAAGGAGAAGCCATTTGAGTGTGACGTGCAGGGCTGTGAGAAGGCGTTCAACACACTGTACAGGTCAGCCAGCGTCCTGACACTGAGCTTGGGACTACAGAACACCCTTTCCATGCATATGAAACAAAGCTTTTGGGACTGGAAAGCATAGCTGTGCTTACCTATTTAAAATGCATTATCAAAACCTGCTACTTAAAAATAGGTGTGCCACGGGCTGGGTGGAAATGTTGGCACATCTGTGTGTAGGCTTGCATCGCAGGGAGCGACATCGTGCCCTTGGGATTTTAGTAGCTGGCTTAGAGTAGTCCTCCCATTGGCACAAAGCCTTTGAGATAACTTTCTTCTATCCTGAGAGGTGGAGTTGCCACTTGATCTCTATTTCTTTTTCCATGTTTGTGTCAGGAGACTTACACCAATCTTCAGTAATAGGCATAAAATAACAAAATAAGACATACCATTCTGAAAGTGCCTGATCTTGTTTGATCCCAGAAGCCAAGCAGGGTTCGGCCTGGTTAATATTAGGTGGGAGAAATAACAATGGCTAATGCTGATGTGTGCAAGGCACAGTTCTACGTGCTGGTCCCCAGAACAGCTGCTAAGTGAAAAGAAGTAGAGAGGAGTTGTATAGGGTCAGGGCCAGGACTCTGTCTCTAATTAATGCTCACGGCCACTCTGCTGTCCTCTCTGGGTAGTTTCAGGTGCTAATGTGCACTGGTACAGCGTTCTGGTGCACTTGGTCCTACGGTGCAGTAGGCTGGTACTAGGAGGCTCTGTGCTACATTCAGCATGGGACATTTCTCTGGGATATTTTGCAGGTTGAAAGCACATCAGAGGCTTCACACAGGGAAAACGTTTAACTGTGAATCTCAAGGCTGCAGCAAGTACTTCACCACACTCAGTGATCTGCGGAAGCACATTCGAACCCACACAGGAGAAAAGCCATTTCGGTAGGTCCTGCTTTCTTCTGTTTGTCACTGACCAGGTCTCAGCTGGGATTCTTGGTAGACTCTAGGCAGTTTCAAAGTAGGAAGAAAATCCCTGACCCATTTCCATACTTGGTAGTGCTAGCTTTCCACAGGGTATCAGTGACCACCTACTGCGAGTTGGAGGAATGCCAGAGGACTCAAAAGCATCTCTCCTTGGGTGATGGCTGCCCATTCTGCCTCATTTTTTCCCTGTATTCTAAAAAAGATGTTTGTTGAAGTTGACTTATATGGCAGACTCTTTTCTTTGTACTAAGGAAGTACTGAGATCCTTAGTCAAGGGCTGGGGTTTGTAGCCTGGGCTGCAGAGTAAGACCCAGTGTCAACACCCCTTCCCCTTAGACAACACAGAACATCCTTAGTTGAGTGGGACAGAGCCACAAAGTTGTAGACAGTGTCTGATGCTATCAGCCTAAGTGGCCGGAGCGTGGAGAGGGGAGACCTCTCTAAGAAAGGGGATTTCAGTTGTTTCTGAGCGTGTTCACAAGGGACGGTGAGGGAGGAGACTCAGGGCCCTGCATGCTCTACTCCATTACCTATTTGCTCTTGCTTTTAATATCTCATGTTTGTGTACATATAGACCCACTTTTGTGTAAATTTTAAATGTTATTTCTTTATATTTCATGTCTGAGTGCTTTGCATGTATGCCTTGCTTGCCAGAAGAGGGCATCAGATCCTATTACAGATGGTTGCGAGTCACCATGTGGGTGCTGGGGACTGAGCTCTTGAAGAACAGCCAGTGCTCTTAATCGCCAAGCTATCTCTCTAGTCCCCCAAATCCATATTTATAAGTATGTATCTGTGTGAGTACATGTTATATGTGTGCTGACACTCATAGAGGCCAGAAGAGAGGATCAGCTCCCCTGGAGCTGGAACTAAATTTGCCTCCTTGATGAGGGCAGTAAATGCTCTTGACTCCTGAGCATCTCCCCAACCACATCCTCCACAGTAGATAAGTCTGTACCATCCTCTTTTTTCCTCTCATTGCATGTAACATGTGGCATGGTTCCAGGCCTACAGTAAGTGTTGAGAAGCAGCCTCAGATGATTATATGACATTTTCATAAGGTAATCATTTTGAAAGGATCCCCATAACTGTGTTTTAAGTATTGTTGAAGATTTCCCATAAACAGTGTCCTTGACTCCTGATAAGGGACACTGCTTAAAGTTATGGCATAAATATGCTACCCTTCCATTTTCAAGTTACTTGTCCTCCTTAGCACACATGGAGACAGTTGAAAAGTCTCCAGGGGCAGCTAGCTCTTAGACACCAATGAAATGAAATTGAGGTTTCAGTACCATTTAATACCATACTCAGATACATTCTGAGTCTCAGCTCCTTTAAGAACAGGAGGTTACAGTCCAGTTGGTCACTCTCTGCAGATGCTTATCTACCCCCACCAGATTGCTAGGGGGACTCTTACTTCTATACAAATGCGTGCATTTATTTTTGTGATGATTAAAACAGTTTTGTCTTGAATATTAGAGGAGACCTAGATAGATACAGTGATGATTATTTGTGATTGAAAATCAAAAGGCTTTAAAGAAATGTTCTTTTTAAATAAATAAGATGTTTAGATATAAGAAAATCTATTTGGTCATGTATGTGTTAAGTTCTTGCTATGCAACAGCTAAAGAACTACCCAGACCCTGCCCTTGAGAAAGCAGATAAAAATATGCACACATCTGGCATGGTGGTACACACCTTTAATCTCTGTGGATGCAGAGGCAGGCAGACCTCTGTGAGGTCCTAACTAGCCAGAGCTACGTAGTGATACCGTCTCAGATCAACACCCTCGTCCCAGATGCACACAGAGATGAAGGAATATTGGAAATGAGAGGTGCCTTAAAGGAAGCATGTGATAAATGCATTAGTAGTCCTGAGGAGGTGGAGATTATTCCTGACTTCGATTATCAAGGAAGCATCCGGGTGCCAAGAGTGCAGCTCACCCAGCATTCTGGATTCCCTGGTATTGCATTTTAGTACTCTGTGAGCCAGGAATAATGGTGCATGTCTGTAATCCTAGCTACAGAGTGAGTTCAAAGCCAGCCTGAGATGGGGAGGCGTCAACTAAGTACCGAGAATTATGGCTGCTTCTTAATTACAGCCATATCAGTGCTTTGTGTTTTTTTGCTGTTTTTCCAGTTCCATACATACCATTTTTTTTTCTTATTTTGAGACAAGGTTAACTCTAGCCCAGGCTATCCATGAATTTGTGAGCCTCCTCTTGCCTCAGCCTCTTGGGCACTAGGATTACAGATAAGTATCTATAGTCAGAGGACAACTTGATAGAATTGTTTTTCTCATCTTGTGGGTTCCAGGGATCCAAGCTGGTCTACCTGGCCTAGCCATCTTGCCAACCCACCCCCATGTTTTTGTTTCCCTGTCTCTAAAACCTCTATGACTGATCTGATCTTAGCGTTCCAAACATTTGCTCTAGTGCACACGCACAAGATCTTCAGGATAAAGCTCTCCTATTGGATGACTTTTGTTTGTCTTTACCTAAACAACTTACTTAGGTGTGATCACGATGGCTGTGGAAAAGCCTTTGCAGCAAGCCACCATCTTAAGACTCACGTCCGTACGCACACTGGTAAGTGAAGGCTGAGTTCCGGTTTCCTTTCCTTTTCTTTCTTTCTTGTTTTGTTTTTCAAGCCAAAGCTCTGTATAGCCCGGTTGCCCTGGAACTATCTCAGTAGAATGGGTTAGCCTAGAACTGGAGAGATCGACCTGCCGCTCCCTCCTCAGCGCTGAGATTAAAGGTGTGTGCCACCATGCCTGCCATAGTTTCCGCTTTCCCTTCAGACCTCCACCTGACCTCTCCAGGTTTCTCTTGAGACCTGTAAGACTAGGAAGAAGGCGAGCACAGTCGGCCTGGCCTTCACCTACAGTGCCTGTGTTTCTTTCATGAAGGATCTAAGGACTAATCCACCCTGAAGCCATGAAACCAGACAACCTTTCGGGAGAGCTGTGAGGCATGGCAGCCCTGTCCTCAGGCCTCCAGGCCCAGGCCACGGCCGCTGCGTTCCTCAGCACTGGGTTCTCAGACTGAGGAAGCCTGTGCTAGTTGGTTCATTCGTGAACAGCTCGTGCTCAGACCTTCCCTGGGTTAGAAGGGAGAGCTTGCCTGTTGAGGAAACTAACATGGCTTCTTCCCTCCTGCAGGTGAAAGACCCTTCTTCTGCCCCAGTAACGGCTGTGAGAAGACCTTTAGCACTCAGTATAGCCTCAAAAGTCACATGAAAGGTCACGATAACAAAGGAGCCGTGTACAGTGCACTTCCACAACACAATGGATCAGAGGTGCGTTCTGGTCTCCTGTCCTGATCTGGGCACTGCAGGGCAGCCGTTTGCAGCTGTTGAGTCCTCTGTTACCTGGCGAGGGAGAAAATGGGTCAGGACCTGTGTGCCTCTGCCATAGGAGGGTGGAAGCCAAAAACGTCACCGGCATGGGGAAGAAGGTGCCACTGACTGGCTTTTCAAGGCCTAGGCCTAGTCCCCATGTCATCTCCCCCCTCGCTTCCATGTGTGTTCACGTATGTAAGAATACATATTGGGCAGTACGCTCTCGTGTGCACCGGCTTGAGCTCAGAAGAATACCTCAAGTGCTGCTCCTCAGCTGCTGCCTGTCCCTCTCCTTTTATTCTTTCGAGACAGGCTCTCACATTGGCCTCCCCAGTGTATAGATCACGAGTGTGCACCGTACTCCCAGCTTTAAAAAAAAAAAGAAAGCATAAGTTTGGGGATTTGAAATCTGTGGACTGAGTTGTCATCCCCCCTCCTCCCAAGTCTGGCGGTTTGGAGTTTTGTTCTGAGAGAAAAACCTCATCCCATGGTAATTGTCCTACCTCAGTCTCTCATGTGCTGGTATTGTGGGCATGAAGCCCCATGCCTGGCTTGGAACTCTTAGTTAATGCCACTTTCCCATTCATGACTGCAGTAGGGATAAGTCTAAACCACATTTGGAATGAAAACCAAAGTTGCCTCGCACCTCTGTCAACACCGGAGAGCCAGGCTTAGTCTGGAGGGTTCCCTGCCCCCTTGGTTGTCTGAAGAATAAAAGGTTTGAGAGGGCCTGCCTCGCTCACTGAGCACAGAGGAGGCCCCTGTAAGCTCTAGGAGAGTTGCTTTTTTTTTTTAAGATATTTTTATTTTATGTAGATGGGTGTTTACCTCCATGAACTTGTGTCTGTATACCACCTGTGTGCCTGGTTCTCTTGTAAGTCAGAAGAGGGCATTAGAGTCCCTGCAACTGGAGGTACAGCTGATTGAGAGCCACTGTGTGGGTGCTGGGAACTGAACCTGGGTCCTCTGCAAGAACAGTCAGTGCTCTTAACCACTGAGCCATTTTTCTAGCCCCAGGCTGGCCTGGAAGTGCAGGCCGAGGGAGGGACCTGAGGCTGGAGGGATATCTTGAGTGCTTTTAGTCCTGCAGCCTGAATTTCTCCCCAGCTCCAGGCTAACTTATTCATTGGTCTCCTTTGCAATAATGAAATTCAGAAACCATGAAATAAGATTTCTATTTTTGGCGAGACAGCACACTCAGAAGCCTGTGGTTCCTAGTTTTTAAACAAGCATCCTTTTAAAGCACTCTCAGTGCTGGGTAGAAGGCTCAGTGGGTAATGGTGCTTGCCCCATGGCCTGAGCTTGATTCCCTGAACCATGGTGGAGAGAACCAACTCATGCAAGTTGTTCTCTGGCCTTCACGTGTGTGCTGTGGCAGCCCCCCACCAAACACACATAGTAAATAATGGGGAACTCATATCTGTTGAATGGTAAATACGTGCAGAATCTGTTCTAGGTGCTGCCTCACTCACAACTCTGTGCCGTCACCATTCCCACGTTACTGATTAAGAGCCTTGGAGCAAGGAGAAATTAAATAGCTTGCCAAGGTCTGCATAGCTTGTCATGAGTGTGACTTAGGCAGGCAGTGTGACTCCGGAGCCAACCTCTTAAGGTTTGCCTTGTTAGAGACAAGGTGATGTTAGTTGTGAAGATGGTGGCCTTTGGTGCTCACCAGCCCCAGTTGAAACCATTCTTCTGTCACTAACCACATGGCCTTTGGCAGATTGCTTCTGGACACCTCAGTTTCTTCATCTGAGAAAACCAGGCAAGAACTGCTCTCCTTAGGTCAGAATCAGTTTCTTGTTTTGTAGCAGTGCATGGAGACTTGAACTGCAAACCCTTTGTGTATTGGCCAGGGTTCTGTAGAGAGAATAACAGAACTTACAGAGTGAATCTCAATCTCTCTTTCTCTCTTTCCCCCCTTACACACACACACACACACACACACACACACACACACACACTCACATACACCTTGGAAAGTGCGAGACACCAATAAGTGTTCAGTCCACGAGGCTGGATGTCTCAGCTGGTCTTAGTATACACAAGAATCCTGAAGAAGTAGGCTCTAATATCAGCGAAGAAATGGACTTGGTAGCTGTTGTGGGAGGAAGCAGGCAAAGGAGAGCTTCCATCTTCCATGTCCTTTATATAGGCTTCCAACAGCAGGGGTGGCCCAGCTTAGAGGTGCATCTTCCTACCTCAAAAGATCAGTGGTTCTCAATCTTCCTAACGTTGTCACCCTTTAATACAGTTCCTCCTCATGTTGTGGTGACCCCCCAACCATAAAGTTATTTTTGTTGCTACTTCATAACTATAATTTTGCTACTGTTAAGAATTGTAATGTAAGTTATCTGTGTTTTTCAATGGTCCATATGGAAGGTTTGGTTGACCCTACAAAGGGGCTGAGCGCCACTATTCTAGATTAAAGGTGTGTCTTTCCACCAAGAAGACCTGACTAGAAGTGGATCTTCCCACTTCAAATGATCCAGTTATATAAAAAAAAAATCCCTCACAGCTGTGTCCAACCTTTTTTTTTCTTTTGGTTTTAATTAATTCCAGGTGTGGTCAGTTTACAACCAAGAATAGCTATCACACTGAGCCTTGGGTATACCAGTGTTCAGTCTTGTAAGGGCAAATCTCTGCATCTCCGTTCAGCAGGGGGATGATTCCTGGCCTGAGGCTTAGGGACCATCTGCAGTGCCCTGAGTTTAATCGACAGTGCCAGCCTAGGCCCGTCCAGCCTCCCACTGACATCATTATCAGATAATAATCGATCTTCCACAACCTGACTGTCTGGACCTGCTTCTCTTGCAGCTTTCATGTAGTTCACAGGCAGTTAGGCTTCTCGAGTGGTGGAGCTCCAAGTCTTGGTGACCTCTTCCTTATCATCTTACATAGCCACTAAGACCACCTGTCATCTCTACCAGAATATGTCTAAGTCTAGCTGAGTGTGACGGCTGTGCCTGTAATCCTAACACTTTATGGCTGTAAAAGCAGGAGGATCAAGAGCTCAAGGCCTAACTGGGCTCTGAGAGACAACAAAACAGATAAAAGCCCTGTTTAGAATCCAGTCATTTTCCTGGTATATTCGGTCAGCCTGCTTGTGTGTGCCTGGATTGCCTGGCTTGTGGTATTCCCTGCGTAGTCCCACTGTGTCGGCCCAGGTTTCCACAGGCTGTCCTGCCTACATCAACCAGAGACCTTTCTGTCTGAACCACATTGCAGATAAGTTCTGTTCTCATGGCTGCTTGGCAGCTTCCTGTGTCATCTAGAGTAAAGGTCACAATCCTGTCAGTAACCGTCAAGGCCCTGGTCACTTATCTGACATCATCCACGTCTTATCCTCCCCCTTCCATCATGTCACCCTCTTTGTGGTAAGCCAGGAGACACCCACTCTTCCCTCAGGAGATAACACAGATAACTTACATTACAATTCTTAACAGTAGCAAAATTATAGTTATGAAGTAGCAACAAAAATAACTTTATGGTTGGGGGTCACCACAACATGAGGAGGAACTGTTTCGCCTCGCTGCAGGCTCTGCCAGACACTCTTGCTCCAATGCCTGCTTTCGTTTCTACTCAGACACCTTCTATATGAAAAGTTTTCCCTAACCATCTAAACTCCTGTGTTGGTGAGATAGCTCAGTGGGTACAGGTGATTGCTGCCAAACCTGTTGTCCCGAGTTCAACTCCCCACATGATGGAAATAGAGAACCAGTTTCTGAAAGTTGCACTGCAGATGGCCCCTGAAGCTGAGACTAGGAAGCAAGAAAATAAACACTCTTACTTTTTGACCCCAGAGCACTCCTCTCCTGCGCTGTCATTAGTGGCCGTCACTAGAATGGAAGTCTGCTAAGTACAGAGGTTTGTTTCTTACTGTGTTCCTGGCCTGGATCAGTACCTGATACGCAGGCACTATTGCACTCTTGTGCTTTGGAGCCATTGTTAAAGACAATAAATGTTGCTAAGGATTGAATTGTGGCTCAGCAGGTAAGAACACTTGCTCTCTTTGCAGAGGACCCAGGTTCGAGTCCCTGCACCTGAATGGCAGCTCACAATACTAGTTCCAAGGGATCTGACACTTTTCTGGCTTCTGAATGCAACCAGGACTTACATACATACCACAAAATACTCAGAAACATAAAAGTAAATCTTTTTTGAAGAGAAAAAGAAGGATTTCTTGAACATAAGCCTACAACACTCAGACAAGTGATCTGATTCCCTGGACAGCTCTGAGTGACTGGTGTGGGAAGGGGCTGTAGCTTTATGGGAGATAGGGGTAGGCGGCCCAAGATTGCATCATACGCCTCATTGGTATGCAGTTGGAAGCTCATTGGTGTGCAGTTGGAAGCCCAGGGGTGGTTTAGTCTGGTTTAGTTTTGACTCATCGTTTACTAGGGATTGCTGGAACTGAAAAGCAGGCTTGTATGTGTTGAATGTATACATGGTGGGAGTGTCATTCCCACTTGGATAGAAGCAGGAACCCACAAAGGGCCAGGACTGTGCTACATGTTCAGGAATCCAGAGTTCAGAGTTGCCTAAGCAGCAGGATTTGAATAGTTAACCCTCACCACCATTCCGAGGAGGAACCTGGGGAGCCCATATGGAGAGACACTACTGGAAGGAGAATTGACTGTTCAGCCAGGACATTTGTCGTCTGTTAACTAGCTGTTATCTGTGCAGCATTTTTCTCCTAATTCAAATGAGAGTATTAGATAATATTTCTCCAGTTTACTTGACTAGCAAATTAGTAATGTGAAATCACTTAATAAAAGATGAAAGAAATTAGACAAATATTAGTAATTTCATGCTGTGTTTTTTTGCAGCTTGATTCATAAGGTAATTTAAAAATAATTTAGCCACTGTCTAGAGAGATGGCTCAGAGGTTTAGAGCATTGGCTGCTCTTCCAGAGGACCTAGGTTTGGTTCCCAGCAACCTTATGGAGGTTCACTGCAGTCAGTAGCTCAAGTCTCAAGTGATCCAAAGCTCTTTTTTTCCTTAACCACCAAACACACACATAGTATGCAGATATACATGCAGGCAAAACACACATAAAGTTAAATTAAACTTGAAATGACAACTACTAGTCACTTTAAGAAACAATTGATCATGCTGTCTCATACCTGCAATCCCAGCACTTGGGAGGTGGAGGCAGGATGGTCATAAATTCAAGGGCATGGCTGCCTAGAGAATTGGAAGCCATGCTGGGTTATGTGACATCCTACCTCAGAAGAACTGGGGATGGAGCGGAGGTATTCCAGTAAGAATACGGAAGTGGGCTGGAAAGATGGCCGAGGTTAAGAGCACCAGCTGTTCTTCCAGAGGTCCTTATTTTAGTTCCAAGCAACCTCGTGGTGGCTCACACCCAGCTATGATGAGATCTGTTGCTCACAACCAGCTATGATGAGATCTGTTGCCCTCTTCTGGTGTGCGGTCACACATGTATCCATAATAAATAAATAAATCTTTTTAAAAAAGAATACCAAGGGGGTTTTCTCTGTAAGTTTGTTTTTGTTTTCTTTTTAATGAACTATCTACATAGCCCCCGCTTTGGATGTGTCTGACCTTTTTTTTTTTAATTTTTATTTATTATGTATACAACATTCTGCCTCCATATATGTCCGCACACCAGAGGAGGGTGCCAGATCTCATTACAGATGGTTGTGAGCCACCATGTGGTTGCTGGGAATTGAACTCAGGACCTCTGGAAGAACAGCTGGTGCTCTTAACCTCGGCCATCTTTCCAGCCCACCTCAATGCTCTTAACCACTGAACCATCTCTCCAGCCCCATGTCTGACCTTTCTTAAGTGACATGTACAGACATTTAGAACCTTAAGGACTTGGAAATCAAGTATTTTATTGTGTACTGTGCTGCTATAATTTTTACTTATTTTATATATTTTTTTACATTATGATTTTTTTTTCTTTCACAGGATACAAATCACTCACTTTATCTGAGTGAGCTGGGCCTTCTGTCCACGGATTCTGAACTGCAAGAAAATTCCAGTGCAGTAAGTAGGAGGGGCACTAGAGGAATTTCTGTGAAAATGGGGAAGGCGAAGCTGAAGGTTCCTAGATTTGGCCTTTGGCGTAGATCATTCCTTTGATGGCCTTTTGATCCGAGAAGATTTCTTTTTTTTTCTTTTTTCTTTTTTTTTTGGTTTTTTGAGACAGGGTTTCTCTGTGGTTTTGGAGCCTGTCCTGGAACTAGCTCTTGTAGACCAGGCTGGTTTCGAACTCACAGAGATCCGCCTGCCTCTGCCTCCCGAGTGCTGGGATTAAAGGCGTGCGCCACCACCGCCCGGCCCGAGAAGATTTCTTATTTTAATAACTTAGGCAAATATTCACTGAATAATGTTCCGGCAGCCACTGTGCAGCCTCCGGCACAATTAGGAAGGTGTGGTTTGGCCTCAAGGAACTTGAGGTCTAGTTAGAAGAGTCAGAATCGGAGTTCCTGGACTTGTGTCAACCACCTGTCAACCCCGCGCGTCTCACCTGCCTTAGGCCGCTTCCTCCTTCGAGCTCACCTTAGTGGGCTTGCTGTACAGGTCTCCACTCGGGGACAAGCCCACTCATCTTTGTCACTGTGGTTCCACAGTGCGCTAGCAGACCATTATGTGGGGCCTGAGCATGTTCAATCCAGCTGATACTATGTTTCTCTACACTGATTTTGAGGTTTATGCTCAGAATAGATTTTCTTCAGCCATCCAGATACGGGAACTGGGGTGAGCCAGCATGCTGAACTAGAATAACCTTATCTTACTGTGTGGGAGTTGATACTGTAAGTGGTAGTCCCTGTGAGAACAGAGGTTCTTATCTGGGTGTCACGGTGCACCTGGAGTGCATGGGGGTGACTGAGGCAGGAGATCACTGGAGCCTAGCAGTTGGAGACCATTCTGAGAGCAGTGAGACCTGTCTCTAAACAAGAAATATACATTAAAGTGTATGTGCTCTCCATACAACCACACAGTCAGCATAGCTACAGTGATATTAAAAAGTGTACTTGGAGATTTAGGCAAGTGCAGTGCCCTGAGTTCTACCTCACTTGGGGTGTGTGTGTGTGTGTGTGTGTGTGTGTGTGTGTGTGTTGTGCTGGGAACTTTCATGTAGGGCCTCAATGCTTGCTAGGCAAGTATTCTACCCCTGATCTAGATCCTCATCCCAGATAGAAAATTTTCATAGCTAGCATTTGCTCATGGACATAAATGAATATGTTTATGCAAATAGGAAATCTTGATGGAGAAGTAGAAACTATATAAAAATGAAACCAGGTATGGAGGAGTACATGTTTCTAATCCTAGTGCTTTGGAAGCTGAGCCAGTAATTTGTGGTCAACCTATACTAAGTAAGTGAACCTCCCAATAAATAAAATAATCCAAGTCAAGCTTGATATATGGGCATTAAAGTGATTACCTGTAATCCTAACGTGTGAGGTACAGGCAGCAAGATTGTAGATTCAAGGAGCTATGCTATTTAAAAAAAAGTTCATTTAGAACTGAAAATTAAGTCAGGTAATTCAAAACCAGGGGCTGTCAAGATAGTTCAGTGGAGAAAGTGCTTGCCACTCGAGCCTGGTGAGCTGAGTTCAGTTTCTGGAATCTCCAGGCAATAGAGAATTGGCCTCACAGGGTTGTCCTCCACTCTCCATAGTATACCGTGCTCCTGTGCATGTGTGCACTTGAACACAAACCACACGGAAAGATTCGTAGGTCAGACGTAACAGCGAAGAAACAGAAGTCTGGAGTAACAAAGGTGAAAAACATTGATTATTCCATATGATTGTCATTCATATTACAGAACAGTTTTCTAAAGTTTATACTCTAGATGTCTTAGGATGCCCTCTGAGTTACCTAACCTAAGACTTCTGGGTAGAGTATCCTTTTAACATTTTTTTTTAGTCCATGTGTGTGTACTAATGTTGACTTGTGTGTACAAATACATACCACAGTACACATACAGAGGGCAGAAGACAACTTTTGGGTCCTGGGGATTGAACTAAGGACATCAGACTGGCAAGGCAGTCTCCTTTACCAATAGAGACATCTGGAAGCTCAGCATTTAACTGTATTACATAGCTGAGAAGTCCATGCTGGCCAGAACTATGACAAAGACTTGCAAGCTTTGGGGAACTCTGAGGCCACTGGGGAAGACGCCTGACAAATGGGAACCATTAAGACGCTTGTGAAAAGTGAAGCCATCTCCAGCATAGTTACCTGTGTCGAGAGGAATCCTATCCCCTAGTCTAACTATTATGCTCCTGGTACCCTGTGTGTAGCCCAGATTTGGAAAGAGTTTTTTCAGTCTTTCAAACCAAGGTCACAGTTCCTTAAAACAGTCAGACTAATGTGATATTTCTTAATAATTGGGGCATGGTGTGATCAAATGGTAAATTGTACGGCATTATCATCTTGAGAGTGTCTATGTGCATGTGTCCAAGAAAGGAACTTGTTTGCTCAGCCTTCTGAGAAGGGGCTGGATGGAGCAGGGTGTAGCCTCTGGGCCTTTTGGTTGCTGAGCTCTAAGGTCATCTGGATCTGGACAGCTCCTGCTGTTTTTCCTGCTCTGAGCCAGAGCTCAGCCTCTCCTCACCTCTCTCAGCTTTGGAGAGTCATTTCCACTAATTCTCCAGCCAGGGGTTTTGCTTTGAAGCCTGTTGGGGGCTTCAGCACCTACCCTTCCTCCCTCTCCTTGGCTCTTCCTCTCCCTGCCTCCCTCTTTCTTGTTCTGTGATTTGGAACCTTCATTGAGGAGCATTATACATGCACAGAGGGACACAACCATACATAAGCTGCCTGATGAGTCATTGCACCATGGCACCAGCACAGATAGATGACGTTCTCATGGCTTGGTCTTTATGCTTGCTTCTGTTTGTCTTTTCTCTCAAAACACTCAGCTTAAGAAATTAATTGTAGCTGAGCAGTGGTGGTGGCACACGCCTTTAATCCCAACACTTGGGAGGCGGAGGCAAGAAGATCTCTGTGAGTTCCTGGACAGCCAGAGCTATTATATAAAACTCTGACTCGAAAAGCCAAAGAGAGAGAGAAGAAAAGAAATTAAAAGAATTAATTGTAGCCCTGTGTGGTGTTGCACACCTGTAATCCTAGCTCTTGGGAGGTAGAGGTAGGAGAATTGCTATAAGTCTGAAGTTGATTTATATAATGGCCAGCTGGAGCTGCGCAGTGAAGGCCTCTCTAGAAATAAGTATAGAAAAAAATTATAACATTAGGTTTCATAACCAATATTTCTATTCCTTCCTGTTTTTGTATGTGTGATGTGTGCATATCTGTATACAGATGAGGTCAAAGGGCGATGTCAGGCATCTTGCTCTGGAACTAGGGCTGACGGGATTCTTTTGTCTTGGCCTCCGTCAACACTAGGATTATATGTGCTCAGGCAGCAATGCCATCCTTTTCCCTTCCTCCCTCCCTCCCTTCCTTCCTTTTTCTTTTTTTGGTGTATGTGCGAGCTCGTGTGCGCATGTGTTCGCGTGTACTGGGAACTTCAACTAAGTCCTCGTGCTTGAATAGCAATGGCACCTTCTCCCCAGCTCATCACCAACGTTTCTAAGACATCAGCAGAATAGATGATGGGGTGCTAGGGAGATGGCATAGTGAGTGAAGTGGATGTCCAGACTTGTGTTTGGATCTCCATCACCTACATAAAAGTCATACATGGCAGTGCACACCTGTAAGCCCCAGTCTAGGCAAATGGGCAAGCTCCATGTCTGGTGAACTGTCTGAAAAATGAATAAAAGTAGAGCATAGTAAAGTTCAGTCAACTTCAGCCTCTGCTGTCTACACACACTCATGCTGAGGACACTGTTGGTCGACATCCAAAAGTGTTCCGTAGACTTGTGTCTGCCACACATCTAGATATACATGCGAAGTGTATATGTGCGTATGTGATAGATAGAATTGTTCTCTCTTTCTCTCTCTCTCCGTGTGTGTGTGTGTGTGTGTGTGTGTGTGTGTGTGTGTGTGTTTGGCTGTTCAAGTCACAGTGCAGAATCTGAAAGTCACAGCAGCCTTGGCCTGAGTCCTAACTCAGCTGGGCAGGGCACTAGAGTTGCTGCACAGGTTGCTGCCATTCTCCCCATACTGCCAAGTCAGTGACTGTACTCCCCCCCCCCCCCCTTATTCTTTTTGGTTGTCTGGTTGACTTTGTTTTGGCTTTGAACTCACAGAGACCCTCCTGTCTCTGCTTCCCAATGCTGGCAGGGATTAAAGGCCTGTAGCACCACACCCGACCCCCAACTGGTTCTTGCAGCAGAGGGAATCAGAGTAAAATAATAGAATAGTAGTAATAATAGTAGAATAATCAGAGTAGAATAACTGCCTTGGAGCAGTTCTGAACTAAGGACTTTCTTGCTGGGGGACAGCCCCAGGCGCCAGGTCTGTGAGCAGCAAGGCAGCCCTTGAGCTCTCTGTCCAGGAGGGAGGGAGGGAGGAGGAGGGAAGGAAGAGACCTTGCAGAACGCCTGGAAGACTGGAAGATAAGCTGGCAGCTGGGACAAAGCCCCCCCCCCCCCCCCGACCCAAAGACAGGCTTTACTTTGATTTATAATATAGTGTCTTCTTTTGAAATAGGATCTGACTGTATAGTGGGTCCATGCTGTCCTCAAACTCACAGCAGTCCTCCTGTCTCTGAGTGCTGGAATTAGATGCATGAGCCATGAGACCCTTCTTACACAGTGCACTCCCCCCCCCCCATGTGTTGTTGAGAACACGCAAGGGCCACTGTGCACAAGTCAGAGAAGAGCCTCAGGTGTTGGTTCTTGCCTTCCCTGTTGTTTTGAGGCTGCAGAGTTTGTAGTTTTCCCATCGGGCTCACTGGATTCTGACCTGGGGATTCTGTCTCCCGCTTCTCTGGCTGTCGAATGCTGGATTGCACAGGCTCATGCTGCTCTGTCTAGCTTTTTTTGTGTCTTTTGGGGATTCAAACTCAGGTCTTCACACTTGTGTGGCAAGCATTTTTACCCTTTATCCCCTGACCCATCCCAAGTTCCCTCTTTGTCTTCCTCCTTCCCACTCCCACCTCCCACCCCCCCCCCCCCCCCCGCTTTTTCCTCATTTTTAAATTTGTTCTTTTGAGATAGTACCTCACCCTGGGGCCCAGACCTGCTTATCTTCAGCCACCAGGACTCTGGTTATAGGCAAGAGCCACCATGCCCGGGTAGATTGCTTTCAGTTACTTTTATTTATAAAATCTGTGTTTTAAACTTAAACTGTGGAGGTCCCTGGCTTGCACTCCCTAAGCTTTATGGGGATTAAGCCCTAGCATGAGTTTCTTTCTCTTTTTAAAAATGGAATCATTTTGGCTCAATTAACATGAGTTTCCATGTGGCAAATTATAGCAGTAATAGTCAGATAACAATCTCATTTGTATGCAGAATTTTGTCTTTTTAAACAGGGTTTATAAGATTTAGGTTTATTTTTATGTACATGAGTGTTTTGCTTGTATGCTGCATGACTGTTGCCCGTGGAAGCCAGAAAAGGGTGTTGAAACCCCTGGAACTAGAGTTATAGATGATTGTTAGCACCGTGTGGGTCCAGGGTGCACCTCACCCCCAGGCCCTGGCCCATCCCCAAGCCCCCCCGACATAAACATGGTAGAGTAAATATTGCAGGCTTTGCGGCGCCCGTAGTCTCTGTCACAGCTACTTCCTGTGCTGATGCATGATGCAGACAGCATCCCTGAACGTGTGCCTGCATTCTGGTGAATCTTTATACGAGAAGAACTGGTCGTTGACTTGCAAGCCAGAGCTGCTGATTCCTCATGGCTCAGTTTCAGGGAAATACATGTCCATTTGCAGGAGATGGAGATGCTGCTGCCCATGATGGTTTACACCTGTGATCCCGGTCCTATAAGACAAAGACAGGAGGATCAGTTCAGGACCAGCTTGAACAATTTAATGAGACTCTGTCTCAAAATAAAAAAAAAAAATTGAGTACTGGGGATGAAGCTTGGGAGTGGGATGCTTGCCCGAGGTGTGCAGGGCCCCGGGTTCAGTCTCCAGTACCTACAGAAGGGAGAAAGGAAGAGGAATCCTATCAGGGGGTTGTCCCCCTGCTTTTTGTGGATGCTTGTCAAGGGGAGACTTCCTCAGGATGATGCATCTCACCTTTCTCCCTTTCAGACACAGGACCAGGACCTCAGCACAATTTCACCAGCAATCATCTTTGAATCAATGTTCCAGAACTCAGATGACCCTGCGGTTCAGGATGACCCTCTGCAGACAGGTGTGCTTTCACCTTCGCCCTTGACCAATTCCCCGGGTGCACGGGGAAGGTCTCCTTTTCAGTCTCTTGTTGGATTTCTGTGGACATTTTTCCTTCTAGTGTACTGCTCTGTTCATGAGTGGGTGGGATCCGCAAATCTGACATGTAGGTAACACCGCTGGAATGGAATGTCTGTACAATACAGCTTTCCAGGACCAGATGTCTTCTGACTAATCATGCCAGAAAGCTTGCCTCTTCTCTTTGCAGAAGAACCACAGGGTACTTTTGTTCTGGTTACATTTACTTAGTCTTTATAAAGTGTGCTTGATCAGGAAGCCAGTCCAGCTAGCCCATAAAGACTGTGTTTGTGGTGCCTATGAAGCTTGGGGCGTGGATACATGTTTCTTCTTTTCCTTGCCAGCTGCCTTGATCGAGAGTTTTAATGGTGATGCAGAGTCAGTCAGTGACATCCCACCGCCTGCAGGAAACTCGGCGTCTTTATCTCTTCCGCTTGTCCTGCAGCCTGGCATCTCTGAGCCACCCCAGCCTTTGCTGCCAGCCTCAGCTCCGTCCGCTCCTCCACCTGCTCCCTCCCTAGGACCTGGTTCCCAGCCGGCTGCATTTGGCAGCACCCCTGCTCTCTTGCAACCTCCAGAAGTGCCTGTTCCCCACAGCACACAGTTTGCTGCTAATCATCAAGAGTTTCTTCCGCACCCCCAGGCGCCACCCCAGACCATCGTACCAGGACTTTCTGTTGTTGCCGGGGCTCCTGCATCAGCAGCAGTGGCATCAGCTGTGGCAGCACCAGCCCCACCACAAAGTACTACTGAGCCCTTGCCTGCTATGGTCCGAACTCTGCCCCTGGGTGCCAACTCTGTCCTAACTAACAATCCTACCATAACCATCACCCCAACTCCCAACACGGCAATCCTGCAGTCCAGCCTAGTCATGGGAGAGCAGAACTTACAGTGGATATTGAATGGTGCCACCAGTTCACCACAAAACCAAGAACAAATTGTAAGTATCACCCATAAGCACACCCAGTGGGATGAAGTGTGTGTAGCAGACACAGCCCTTCCCTCCTTTCTTTTCTCTAGTAGTAATGGGGATTGAACCTTCACACGCGCAAGGCAAGTGCTCTACCATTGAGAGATCCTCAGCCTTCAGTCTTTTATTTCAAAGGGGAAATGGCTAGCTTCTCTGTCTTGAAACATGTATCCATGTAGCTATTCCCCCCAGTAAAGTGTTGCAGATCCTGGGGAATAGATCAGTATATAAGATAAAGATGAAGGGGCTGAAGAGATGGCTCAGAGGTTAAGAGCAGTAGCTGTTCTCCCAGAGGTCCTGAGTTCAATTCCCAGCAACCACATGGTGACTCACAACCATCTGTAATGAGGTCTGGTGCCCTCTTCTGGCCTGCAGGCATACACACAGACAGAATATTGTATACATAATAAATAAATATTTAAAAAAAAGATAAAGATGAAGAAAAATAATTTCAAAGTTGACCTAGTGAAAACATCTGAATAAATATTCCCTCTAAAGCTAATCACATCATCTGTGCCATCAGGCACGCCCAGCCTGTGGCCTGTGGGCTGCTTGTGTCCCAGGATAGCAGTGAGTTTGGCTCAGCACTAGCGACCACATCATTACCCTGTAACGACCCCAAAGGCCCAGGAAGTGTCCAGGCAGTAGATCTGTTTATTTTCTTCTTTTCTTTTTGCAATACAAGGGATTAGACTCATTGCCATACACATGCTGGGCTAATGCCCACCACCAAGCACACCCCAGGCCCCAGGGTACTTTTCTTTTCTTTTTTTTTTTTAAAGATTTATTTATTATGTATACAACTTTCTGCCTCCACACGCCAGAAGAGGGCGCCAGATCTCTTTACAGATGGTTTGGAGCCACCATGTGGTTGCTGGGAATTGAACTCAGGACCTCTGGAAGAGCAGACAGTGCTCTTAACCACTGAGCCATCTCCCCAGCCCCCGCCAGGGTACTTTTCTAAGAATGCATTTGGTTTTGACTCTGGAAGTCACTTGACCATCATGTCAGTGTGCTGTGAGAGCCTAGTATTTGCCAGATTCTGTGCAGGAGGATACAGAGAAATGAAAGGCGTGATTTATTTAAGATGTACATTCAAGTAAAGAGACTAAAATATATTAATATTACCAATGGGCAAAGAGCCCAATAATACCAGCAGTGAAGCAAAACAAAACAAAGCCCTTTCGCTGAGCTCTTACTGTATGTGAAAGGAGTGACCATACACTCTGTTTCTTGTTGAGAGGGGGCACGTGTGGAGCGCAGAGGACAACTTATGGGAGATATTTCTTGGTAGCAGATGTTTCTACCTACTAAGCTTTTTGGTTATTTGTTTTTAGATAGGGTCTCTCTACAGAGCCCTGGCTGTCCAGGAACTCACTCTGTAGACCAGGCTGGTGTTGAACCCACAGAGCTCTGCCTGCCTCTGCCTCCTGAGTGCTGGGATTAAAGGCATGGGCCACCACACCAGGGTCCACTAAACTCTCTTACCAGCCCTCTTTTAGTCTTTTCCAGTTTCATTTTTAGTTTTTGTGTATGAATGTGTTGTCTGTATGCCTGTCCACCTCGTGCTAGCCTGGTGCCCTCAGAAGCCATAATAGAGTGACTAGCCCACACAAGGCAAGGTGGAGCCTGTCCCCAGCGCTGTGCTACCTCTGGAGCGTTCAGACACTCAGAAGCTGGCATGGTCACACAGGTCAAGTGGGCCTTGAGCCATGGCTAGGAATTGGGTGGGAAGTGGGAGGAACTACAGAGGGAAATTTGTGCGTGGGTTTAAACAAACTGGAGAGTAAGTTTAGAAATGGCGTGGCGACACCTGTGGATGAGATGATCAGGGTCACTGGAATGGCTTTCCAGTGTTCTCTCCCATCTGCCGGCTTAGAGTCTGCACTGTTTTTCTGGATCTGCCCTTGGGAGCTGTTAAAGCAAATGTCATTCTTTGCCCATGTGAATCGTTTACATATATTTCACTATGGGCCTCATACCTATAATCCCTTTGCTCAGGAGGTATAGGCAAGAGAACTAAGTTTAAGGCCAACCTGGGCTATAAAGCCAGATCCTGTGTCTCCACCCTCCCCAACTAAAAAGTAAAGAAAAAAGGGGTGGTGGGGGAGGACCGGACACTTGTGTCTCCCATCTCTTCTTTTTTGCCCCCTGTGCTGGGTCTAGACTGTGCCCGTGCCCTGCTACTGGGCTGCCTTCCTCTGCCGTCCATCATTCTGTCTCATGGTTCTGTTTACATCTTAGCTAGAAGTCAGGTTCTTCCCAGACTCTTAGTGGAGCACGGATGGTGTGTCTTAAAGTAGGATTAAAACAAAGCCCCTTTAAGACAAGAATACAAAAATACTTTTGAAAATTGTTTTTATGTGTGGGGGTATTTTGCTTGCATGTATGTGTGTGTACCACCTGTGTGCAGTGCCTGTGGAGGCCAGAAGAGGGCACCTGGAACTAGAAATAGAGACTGCCATGTAGATGCTACTATGTAGGTGCTGGGAATTGAACTCTGGTCTCTAGAAGAGCAACCAATGCTCTCAAATGCTGAGCTCTAACCCCCAGCAACCCTTAATATATTAGGAAGTAAAATGAGATTCTAGTACAAGATTTTTTTTGTTTGTTTCATTTTTTGAGATGAGGAATATTACATTAGGTCTGGTCTCAAACTGACTATGAACCAAGACTGGCCTTGAACTCCTGAGTGCTGTGTACCTCTGCACAGTTTGTGGTCTTTATAGGAACACCACAAAAGCTGATGTGTACTGTCTGCTCCAAGCTGCGTGTTCTCATTCATCTTCAGCAGCCTTTGAGACTCTTCAGTTAGCTTCCCAGCCTTTATAGGAAACCGGGGCTCTAATGACTCAAGTCATGTGGCTGCAGTCCCAGCATGGGAGGTAGAGGCAGGTGGATTGCAGATTTGTGGCAGGCCGGGCTACACAGTGAGAGCTTGTTCCATAAGACAAAACAAAAACAAATGAAAAAGTCCATTCATTTGCCTGGACGTGAATCTGGTTTAGCCAAGTCCAAGACCCACAGCGGAACTCTCCTGAGACTTCGGAGTCCTGTGTGTTTATTATAGACAGCCTTAACCTGCCCTGGGTGGTCAGCCTAGACCCCGAGGGGTCAAAAGGAACTTTCCAACTTTCACTACAGAATTGGGATGGGCAAAGCTAGCCCAGAACTCCCTCTAAGAAGGCCATCGCTTGAGAAAAGCAACCTCGGAGGAGTCTTTGGACAAATTCAATCCACTGGACTAGGCAGCTGGGAGACAGCCAAGTAATGGGGACAAAGCTGGCCTATAATGCCAGCATGGAATGTCAAACAGTACAGTGACCTCATCTCAGTGCACAAACAAAACACCCTTCAGTACAGAAATGCCTCAACACTGAGGGTTTTATATCTTCCTGGGGGACCACTGCATCTGGGGCGGCTTGGGAGCCTTGGGTGGCCGCCATATTGGAGTGGCCATAGTGTGATTTTGTTGTATTGTGTTTTCCTCAGCAGCAAGCATCGAAAGTCGAGCAGGTGTATTTCACCACTGCAGTGCCAGTAGCCAGTAGCACAGGTATGTCATGCCACAGCGTTAAAGCCACGATCTACAGACTCTTTGTCCTTGCTTCAGTTTTTAAGGGTTTTTAAATCGTGAAACAGCCTTAAGCTGACATTACTTTGTTTACTGAGTAAACATGTTCTCATGGTGACCAGAAGCCAGTGTGCTGCTGGTGAGATGTGGGCTCCGTTCCATTTCCCCAGTCCAAGTGCGTTCCCTGTGATGGAGCTTGAGCTTGTAAGTGGAACCAGGGGAAAACGGCTAAATCACAGCTAATGCTAAAGAGGGCAGTTGTTAATTCACGGGGCTCTTTTTTAATTACAGTAAGCAGCAGCAGCAGCAGCATCTGGGTCAGGGACTTAGCAGAGCTGAAAGGTCTTTCATTTGAGTGCAGTTTCCTTTTTCTCTTTTGCTGGTACTGGGTCCTGAACCCAGCAGCTTATGCCTGCTAGTCAAACTTTCTACTGCTGAGCTGTATCCCTCGGCTAGATCTTTCATTTGGAACTTTTTCATGTATTAAACCCAGAACCAGGCATGGTGGTGCATGCCTGTCCTGCCAGCACTGTGGGGCTAAGGCAGGAGGATTGAGAGAATTCAGTTCCAGGTTAGCCTGAGCCGTGTAGTGAATTCTAGTCCGCTCTGGTAAAAACCTGCTGTGGCAGGTACACTGACATAATTAAGGGGGTAAAATAAAGGTAAAAGGAAGGAAAGATAAAAATTGGGACCTAACCAGGCCTTGGTGGCACACATCTTTAATCCCAGCACTCAGGAGGCAGAGGCAGGCGGATCTCTGTGAGTTCGAGGCCAGCCAGGGCTACAAAGAGAAACGGTTTCAAAAACAAAAACGTTGGGGCCCAAAGAGATTCATTGACTCTCCCAGGATTGTAAGTGAACTTACAAGAGAGATCTCTGAGCACCTTGTTCCCACCCTATGTCTTCTTAATAGCCTTCAGCTCTGTTGTACACAGAACCTGGCTAAGTACAGAGCCTATGTGTGCATAGTACACATGAAAGTGAATTGAGAATGGATATAGAGCACATGTGTGCACAGTTCACATGAGCCAGGCAGTGGTAGCACACGCCTTTAATCCCAGCACTCGGGAAACAGAGACAGGAGGAGGATCTCTGAGTTCCAGGACAGGCTCCAAAGCTACAGAGAAACCCTGTCTCGAAAAACCAAAACAAACAAAAAATACACGACCGTGAAATGAGAATGGATACAGAGCACATGTGTGCATCATACACATGAACGTGAACCGAGAACAGATGTGAATGTTGCACATACCAGGCTGGCTGTGGAAGAAAGCAGTTGACACCTCCCGTATGTCAGCCATGGTCCTAAGGAGCTGAGCAGGTCCTGTTCAGTGTGGAGAGGGTGCAGAAGGCAAGCAGCAATGCCGTGCATTTGCCTGGCGCTCAGCACTGGCTGTCGCTGATCTGTCACAGCCTTCAGGGAACACCACCTGGGGCAGGAAGAAAGCAGAGAGTCAGCTGGACCTTGAAAGATGAGAATAATTCTTCCAAAGAACAGCACTGTCTGCCCCGCCAGTTTAGGCAAAGGGACGAGCCCAGAGTATGCCGACAAGAAGAGACGCATTTGCTATGGCCTACACAGATGGGCACCAGAGAGGGACAGGGTGCATCCTAGATTGTGTGGGTGGCTCTTCTAAGAAAGGAGCATCATAAAGGGATGGGGGAGCACCTGACAGGCTTTTTCCCTGAGGAAGAACCTGATCCATTTTAAAGCATAGCAAAACCCAAAGTATGGCATCTTGCCTGCCTATCCTGCCTGGTCTCGGTAGCATTCAGTTCTTCCCAGTCCATACTCCCCCTCCCATCTTGCCTCTGCTCCTCTCTCGCCTCTCCCACAGGGAGCTCTGTCCAGCAGATCGGCCTCAGTGTTCCTGTGATCATCATCAAGCAAGAGGAGGCCTGTCAGTGTCAGTGTGCCTGCAGGGACTCTGCCAAGGAGCGGGCAGCCGGCCGGAGAAAGGGCTGTTCTTCCCCACCCCCTCCAGAGCTGAGCCCCCAGCCTCCTGATGGGCCCAACCTGCAGCTGCCACCCTAGACTTCTCCCTCACCCTTGCCCCCCTCATCCTCCTCCACTGGACCCTCTTCCTGTGAGCAAAGCAGACAGGCTGAGGCTCCTCAGACCCTCCGAAGTGTTAAGTGCCATGGACGTGTCAGAGTTCCTGTCCCTCACAGCCTGGACGCCTCGTCCAATCCAGTTCCGAGCGAAGCACTACTGCAGGGTAGAGGAGACAGCCTGACCAGCAGCTGCTCGGGGGACGGGCCTGTGCGCGCCCCTTCAGGAACAGGGTGAGCAGGAAGTAGCGGGTGTGATGCTGCCATCATGGGGTCAGAAATTGGAAGGATGAAGAAATCTGCCATCTGAAAGCCTCACCTTTCAGACATATTTTCTTTACTCATATCCCAGGAACATCCATTTTAAGGAACTGATCTTTGGAGGAAAACAAAAACAAAAAAAGAAAAAAAAGCTAAGTTATAAGTGGACTGTCTGGCTGCACTGTGTGTCACTTTTGCTTATTGTTCTGTGAACTTGGAAACTAAGGTTACGTGTGCATAAAAGTTGTAAATGAACGGGTGTGGTTTCCATCAATTTGGTGCTGCCCATCACTGCACTGGGGTCCTTGTGGATGGGCAGGAAGTGCAGTGTGCTGCGTGTTGCTCCTCCCTCTCTGTCTTTTTGAATCTGAGGTGACGTCTCTCTGGAGGGCCAGACCACTGTTCTGTGGAAGCGGTCAGTGGCAAGGGCAGGTGAGAGTTGTGAGCTAGACAGGGTGAGATTGTTGTGTTGTTGGCGCTTTGTTTCTGTGGAGCTTGGAGGAGATGCAGAGGGACCTGTCCTGTATCCTGCTCAGTCCAAGCGAGCAGCATCAGGCCCCTGGCCATGGTGATGTGGTGGTTCTGCAGGGCCCTGAGGCAATTTGACAGCTCTGTTGATCCTAGCTAGAGCTGGCTCTAGCAAAGCCAAGTCCTTGCCTTCTGGGCTCTTCCCATTTCTCCGTGCTTGTCAGGGCTAGAAGTTTGGACTGCATCGCTCCTAAGGAAGCGCCCTATTTTATCCATAGTGAATGCAGGGCTGATGGCCAGTGGCTGCCAGGGTCTGCCGCCTCAGAGCAGGAGGGCCGCTTCTCCTGAGAAGGTACAGAGCGAAGGGGGTTGGATGAAGTAGTAGGTGGTACCCAGGTCTAGCCAGGCTTTTGTTTATCCCCTCCCATCTCCATCCTCACATCTCTAGATTTTGCATACAGCCTCACACAGTGCAAACAAGGATGTGATTTCTAAACAAAAAGGGATAAAAACAAAAACGATGATCTTCTACTCAGGGTAAAACAAAAATTCCCCTTCCACCAAAAAGCCTGAAGCTTGCAGTCAGTTACCTCATTTGGAATGTTTCATTAAGTTGTGTTCTAGGATTTTTTTATTAGTGTATAGAATTGTGTCCATCTACCTGCCTTTGGCTCCAGGTTCCTGCCTCTTCAAATATAGTATAATCCATAGGAAAACGGGAGCGTCTGTCCTTCAGCTTGGAAAGCTCAGTGGCCAGGCTGGGGTCTGGAGGTCTCGGCCTCCTTCCCGGAGCAAGGTCCAGAGCCCAGACAAGATGAGAGCTGTGTAGGTTGCCCTCCTGCAGCCCGTCAGGATGGTGTCCTTTCAGAAGGCCCTTGTCTAGAGGCAAGATATTTCAGGACAACTGACCAAGGGAGTCATGGCAGCGGTAAGGGGAAGACGGGTGCAGCCAACCAGGAAGCTTTGCGTCAGGCCCTTGATGTTTCTGACTTCTGAGGAGAGCAGTGAGAGGGACGCCATGGGGTTCTGGTTCGCTGGGAGCTGACATAGGAAAGGAGCCCAGGGAGGATGTGTGGAAGGTTGTAATGGTTTAAATAAGGCTTCTTGGTTAGCTCAGGCTGTACTCTTAATGATCCCTTCCTGGGTCACTGGCTTTTCGCTCTCCACAGTTGCGGGTATGGAAGAAGCATTTAAGCAGTGTTAAGGCTGACATGTTTCCAGCTGCAAGAGTTAAGTATTTGTCTTTGTGGGTGGCTGTAGAACATAAGAGACTCTCAGCTCCAAATAGCTTTTGGAAATTGAGGAATGTGCTTAAAAACCAGTAGTTGTGCAGGGCCAGGTGTATTCCGCGGACTAGCCAGCCTTCCCTGCCAGGCCGTGCCAGCTCTCCTCCCAGAAGCCCAGCTTCTAATGCCAAGAACCCTGGCTAGACTAGAGCCAGAAAGCCCCTTCCTGGAGAGTGGTTTCTCAGGGGAATGAACTTAGGGTAAGGCCAAACAGAGTGGATTCTGGCAGGTGGAGGTAAGCCTTTTTTTTCCTCTCATGGCAGCCTTCACCATTGTCACCCTATAGAGCACACCTGGGCTACCACTAGCATCTCCAGTTTAGCCCCTTCCAAGACACTAGTCCACAACAAGGGTGGAGAGTGGACCTGGTGGATTTAAGAGGTAGTCAGGTAATCTTGGTCCCGACAAACTGCCTTATAAATGTGGTCCTTCCCAGACAGGAGGGCAAGGCTGAGCAGGGTCTGGCCAACCTCCTGGGGCAGCACTAGTTTGGTGACCGAAGTTGTGCCATTTATTGGCTTACTCCAGTTTAGAAGATCATTGGTACAGCGCTAAGGAGAGGCCTTGAGATGTGGGAACCTCTCTAGGTAGAAGGCAAGGGGACTTCCCTTTGCTTCCAGAGAGTCAATACATGGGAAAAGGTGGTTTTCTAAGTCAGGGCAGTGGACTGATGGGGTAATGGAGGTAGATGAGGTTTTCCTGAGGCTTTGTATGATGCTGAATGTGTCCAGAGGGACAAATTTGCAGAACCTCATATTGGTATATTAAAGAAATAATAAAATAAAAGCACTTTAGGTTACTTTATCTTTAACCCAATTGCTGCAATTTCTGTTGTGTATGTATATATATACATATATATATACTTCCCACAAAGTTTTATTTTTTGCTCATAATAAAAAGTTGAGGTGTGAAAAGAAAAGCACTTACTTTGGTGCAATATATGCGTAGCTTGAGAGTTGTAATCCCATGTGGCCCTGGCCCAGCCTGTTTTTCCGTCAGCCCTGTGCTGAAGCTGTCCATAGGGAAACACTTCTGCATCTCAGCAGCTGCTCAATCTATGCAAGCCTATGTGAGTCCCGGGCGCCCCCCTCAGGCCCTCCGCGGAACTGCTGCATCTGTTTTCTGACTGTTGAGCCCCCTTTCTACCACTTCTTGGTCCCCCTGCTGTCTTTCCCCTCTTCACCATGTCAAAATGATTCCTGAAAGGGACAGGTTGTTCCCAGGTAAAGATCCGGCACCTTCTAGACTTTCATATCTGTAATCACATCCATTGAAGGTAACGGCTTCTCCAGTGTCACTGAAACTATTGATTGTGGAACTGCACCGCTATTGCTCGTTTACAACTTCTTTTTCTACACCCCCAATCAGAAATATGTTGGAAGAAAGGAATGGGCAATACAAGCCACTACCTGAGTTGGCTCAAAGCAGACTGTGGGCTTCCTCAAATCCCGTCATAAGGCCGCTGCTAGTCTCCCTCACGGGTCCCACCTCATCTTAAATCCCAGCTGAAGATGAGAGGCATTTTAAAACCCTTCAGCCAGAGCAAGATTTCCCTGCAGTCTGCAAGCGGGTCTGCTGTGACATAGCTGGGAAATCGTCCATCTCCTATTTGGGGTGGAAGGCGTTCAATCACAAAGCCAGATAATACATATTTCTGATTGGTCAATCTGTTTGGCCTGTTTCTGGAATATTCTTGGGGCAAAGATAAAAGGGTCTTGTTTCTTAGGCCCCTGCTCTTGGGAGGTTGATGATTAGCCTGGGCATTTCTCACTGTTACTCCTGGTGGCGAGAGGGCTTCTTGGTCTGCACTGAAAACATGAGTTATTGCATCTGTCAAGGGATATTATAGTACAAGTGGGGTTTAAAAACCATGCATTGTTCCTTTGGTGGTGGCCTACTGGGCCAAAAATAAGTGATAATGTCACGTCGCTTTCTCAACAATGCAGTTTCTACTTTTTTTACAGGAAATTTTTTCGTAAAACTTTTTTCCACCAAAACCTAGGGTGTTTTTGCAATATCCATATTGCCCTCGTGGTGCCAAGTCAGAGGCTCGTCTGTCCTGGCCTCATGTGTTCTCAGGCCTCCCAAGGGCTGTTAGATTCAACAGTCTGCATCTTTTGTTGTGCTTTGAAGAAAATGTCACTGAGGTTGGAGTTGCAGGCAACTATTCCCTGTTCCTGTGAACTCACCCTAGTTCCAGTTCAGGGAGGGTGGCTGGAAACAGGCTTTTCTGGCTCAGACCTAGCCCGAAAAGGCCACAAATTCTCTTTTCTAACACACACTAAATCATTGGCCAGTGGTCTTGGTGACAAGTTTTTAAGTCCCAAATAGTTTTATTTGGATTATGTAAAAGTATCAAATTTATTTTAAATGTAAAACATGGGAACAATGGACTTCCACTGAGCGATATGAAAACGTTACAGGTTCAGTACTTCCAAAGGAAGAAACTTCCAAACCCAAAAAAGAAATACGAATTTGTATTTTTGAAGAATGTGAAATAATGGTGTTTGCTTAATTGCTCATTTTGTATAAACTTAATATTGTACTTTAAAATATCTGCTATGAAGTGAAAATTTAACTTTTTGGAATTGAAAAAGCAATATTAAATACTAATGAAATCTTAATTAAATGCTTATTTAAATCTGGTAGTACCTGTGGCATTACTTTCCATCCCTGTCCCTGGGTGACATTCTCAACCTCACTCCCCACTGCCCAGCCATCAAGTCTTGGGGGGGGGGGACAGAAAGGAAAGGCCGGTCACCAGGAGTCTGCAGGTTTCCTTTTAATCAATACTCTGCTGAAGTGTTTTATGGGGCCGGGAGCCCCCAAAGCATGAAATGAACATGTAATACCACCTGGAACCCCCAAAGCAGGCCAGACCACTCTGGCCAGCACTGCTGGCCTGCCGGAGTCCGAGTACTCCAGACTGGATATTCGCTGGCTACATTTCAAAACACAGTCCTGCCTTCAGCCAGGACGACGAGGAGTGAACCCAGCTGCTAGTAGAGTTGCCATCCCAGGCTGAGGGCCAAGTACCAGCAACTGCCAGTTAAGACTGACCCCTTTAGTGAAGGGAGTTGGTCAGAGTCCAGCCACCGGCCCTGGAAAGGGACAGAAGTCAGGGTGCCCGGCTAGGAAATGGTCAAGGCTCCGCAGCTCCATCGCCAGCATCCTTTGGAAGGCCACCTCTGGCGGATACAGCTGACTGGGGCGACGCTCCGGACTTGGCTGAACCGTTCTAGTTGAGACAGAAAAGGGGGTTAATGAGCCTGGGAGGAAAGGCCTTAGGTTAGGCCCCACAAGGATAAGGCCACTTGGCATCTCGACAATACCGTACTTTTTCAAAACCTCACCCAGATCAAAGGAGGTTAAGTGTGGAGCGGTGGGGATGCGCTTCCACCCTCTTCCTCTGGGACGGGGACGAGCTTGGCCGGTGTAGTCAGTGAGGAGACCCCACCTCCCCAGGCCCAGCCCGGAATGGACACTGACCCCGCCACCAGCCGGCTCCGGACGCCGGCGGCCCAGCTGCCGCAGCATCTCCTCGCAGGCGGCGATGGTGTCCAGGAGCTGCCGCTGCCGCTGCTCCACGGCGTCCAGCAGCTGCTGGGCGCGCTCATCCCGGGGCGGCTGCGGGGGTGGCCTCCCGCCGAGCCCCAGCCCCGCCTTCCCGCGGTCCACGCCGGCAGCCTCCCTGCCCGGGAGAGAGACGGCGTCAGGGCCGGCGCAGGGAGGCGCGAGGTCGCGGCCCCAGCACCAGCCCCCCGCCCCGCGGGCCCGCTCTCACCCCCGTGACCAGCCTGCGCCCGGGCCCCACTCCATCGCAGCCCGACCACCCACCCGCCTGCCGACCGCCCCCGCCCCGGCGCCGCGCGAGGGCTCAGCTAAGCTGCGCCCCGCCCCGTCCCCACCGGTCTCCTTCAAGTCGTCTGGGGGTCGCGGTCCCTTTAAGCTGCCCGGCGCGGAGGCGGGGCCGAGCCTCGGGGACCGGAAGTTGGGCGCGTGCGTCACTTCCTCCCGGAAGCGGGTCTGGGCGGATGTCTACTGCGCGTCCGTGTGCGGGGCTGAGGGCCGCGGTGGCGGCCGGCATGGGGCTGAGCGACGGGCCAGCAGGCTCTGGCCGCAGCTGCCGCCTTCTACGCCCGCCCGCGCCGGCTCCGGCGGTGCCGGGGGCCCGGCTGTTGCGGCTTCCGGAGAGCGGGGCCGTGCAGGCCGCAAGCCCCGAGCGCTCCGGTTGGACCGAGGCGCTGCGGGCCGCCGTGGCCGAGCTGCGCGCCGGCGCCGTGGTGGCGGTCCCAACTGACACGCTGTATGGTCTGGCCTGCTCGGCGAGCTGCTCGGCGGCCCTGGGCTGCGTCTATCGCCTCAAGGGCCGCAGCGAGGCCAAGCCGCTGGCCGTGTGCCTGGGCCGCGTGGCCGACGTCTACAGGTGAGGCCGCCCCGACCCGGCCCCACTGGAGGCGGCACCGCGGGAGGGGTTTCCGGTGACAGGCTTGGGAGACTGAGGCGCCGAGCGCGGGAGGGGCTTGTCCTGGCTCACTGAGGAATCCGGAACTGGAAATGTGTTGGGAGCGCTTAACGCGTGCCAGGCTCCGCAGTCGACAGCGCGCTAATCGCGGCGCTGAACTGGGCGAGCATGGCACTGTTCCCTCGGTGCCCTTGTGATGTACGGAGGGGGAGTCCCGCGGGAAGAAGGAATCGCCGCCACAGTTTGGGAGTATGACGATAAAATAGTTCGAGGTTCTGTTCATGATGTCACGGCGTTGTGGGCATTGTCGCCGAGACAGGCGTGTGGACTTCAAGCCCGGGCTACTTCTCTGGCGTTCTGCCTTGTGCCAGAGCTCTAAGGAAGTAGGGGGGCAGGCAGATCTCATTGTACGCCCCCAGGAGCCCCTTCCCGCATCTGCCTTCAGTCCAGGAGAGGTTCATCCGGGTGATATGGAGTAGGTTTGTGCTCTTTTGCCTCTAGGTACTGCCAGGTGAGGGTACCCAAGGAGCTCCTGGAGGACCTGTTGCCAGGACCAGTGACCCTGGTGATGCAGCGCTCCGGGGAGCTCAACAAAGACCTGAACCCCTTTACTCCTGTGAGTCACAGTCGCTTTTCCTGTGATCTGACTCAGATGCATGCAGGCCCCTGAAGCCTTCCTCACGCTCCCTTCTCTTGCTTCACAGCTGGTTGGCATCCGGATCCCTAACCACGCCTTCATGCAGGACTTGGCCCAAATGTTTGGGGGACCAATTGCACTCACCAGTGCCAACCTCAGCTCCCACGCCAGTTCTCTGAGTGTTGAGGTGAGAATTGGCCCCAGTGGGCTAAACTGCTGTTTCCTCAGAACCAGTAAGACTGCACTCGGATTGCATGGCCGAAATTGGGCCTTTGGTGCAACAGTAAGAAGGCTACCCATGTGGTATGGTTTAGGGAGGACATCCAGATGAAAGAATATTGGAAGGGCCAGGTGGTGCATACTTGTAGTGCCAGCACTAAGGCCAAGGCAAGAAAATCTTTTTGTTTTTGTTGTGTTTCGTGATAGGAGCTGTAGTAATAAGGGCGGCGGGGCTGCGTCCCCAGCACCCCGGCTGCCTGCTCGGCTAGCTTATGCCCCGAAATAACAACACACAAACTGTATTCATTTAAACACTGCTTGGCCCATTCTCTTCTAGGCTAATTCTCACATATTAATTTAGCCCATTTCTAATCATCTGTGTGTAGCAGCACCCCAAGGTGTGCTTACCGGGGAGATTCTAGCCTAGTCCATCCTGGGTCGGAGCTTCATCCCGGGAGCGGGGCATGGCTTCCCGAGAGAGCTGTCGAGACTGAGCTCACTTCCTCTTCCTCCCAGCGTTCTGTTCTGTTTACTCCTCCCACCTATCCTCTAACCAATAAAATGGGCCAGGGCAGTTCCTTTATTAGCCAATGACCTTCCTCCATCAAGGAGCTGTCCTCGAACCCGAACTCTGCCTGCTTCTGCTGGTATTACAGGCATGCACCACCACTACCTGTGTAGATGAAGACTACTTTTGTTTCATGGCCACCCAGACCCAGATAATCACACAGAAACTATATTAATTATAACACTGTTCGGCCAACGGCTCAGGCATATTCCTAGTTAGCTCTTGCATCTTAAAATTAACCTTGTATTACCATGTGGCTGTGATGTTACCTCATTTTCTACGTCTTGTTTCCCCCGGGACTGGTCGGCATCTCCCTGATTCAGCCTTCTTTCTCCCTGCATTCAGTTTAGTTTTTCTACCCAGCTATATTATGCCCTGCCATAGGCCAAAGCAGCTTCTTTATTAATCATTGGTAATAAAACACATTCACAGCATACAGAGGGGAATCCCATATCACTTTTTGAATTTTTAATGATTTCTTTTATATGCATTGGTGTTTTGCCTGCATGTATGTCTGTGTGAAGATGTCAGATTGGAACTGGAGTTACAGACAGTTGTGAACTGCCTTGTGGGTGCTGGGAATTGAACTGTGGTCCTCTGGAAGAACAGCCAGTGCTCTTAAAAGATGCTGGGGGGTGGTAACTCACACCTTTAATCCCAGCACTTGGGAGACAGAGGCAGGTAGGTGGATTTCTTTGAGTTCAAGACCAACCTGGTCTACAGAGCAAGTTCTAGAACTTCATAGAGAAACCCTGTCTCAAAAAACAAAAGTAGAAAAGGTTATAGGAAGTAAAGACAGCTTTGTGAGGGGAGGAGTTGTCAGACACTCGATACCAGTGCTGGGGGCTCTGCAACATTTGTTCTCTGTCACAGCCATTAAATGACAGTCTTTTTGCCAGTTCTTTTCAGAGTGGGACAGTGTTTTTAAGACAGGGTCTTACTATGTAGCCCTTGAACTCCTTATATAGAACCGCTGACTTTGAACTGCCTTTGCTTCCCAAGTGTTGGAATTAAAGGCTTAGGGCAGGGTCTTACGACTGTGGCTCGTGCTGCCATTGAACTCAGGACCCTTAGGCCTCCTCATTTTGGAATCTATGCCAGCACACCTGGACTCACCTAATACCTACTGTCCTATCTCTACTTGCCAGGTAGGCCTAAGATAAGATCATCTTAATCCTGTCTTGGCTATGTGGTTTAGAACAAATGAGCAAAAAGAAACTGCTCTGTTTTTACAGCCTCTAAGTTAGGTGCAGTTAAGTGATGGGGGACTTGGAAATGCAGTTCTACTTTATTTGCTCTTGGTATCTGTACAGTAGGGAGCCAGATGGGGATGCTTCCAGAGGAGAGGGTGGTTCTTACCTTTCACCAACCATGGGCTAGCACAGTCATTGTTTATTTATAACTGGTATTTATGATTGCCCTATCATCAAGACCCAGGCCTAACTGCAGTAGAGACTCTTCACTGGGGGCAGAAAGACTCCAGCTCATTTAATAGCATGGCCCAAGAACTGAGTGCTGGTGACATGGGTTTGCAGAGTCCACCCTGTTTTCTTCATTCTCTGAGCTGATTGACTTCTGTTGAGGTCCAGGATCTGGCTGCTAGAGCTGGAAAGACCGTTGATAGTCACCTCGGCTGGCTCTCACTTTAGGAATCTAGATGAAATGATTTCATGTATCATACAGAGATGATGGAAAGTCCAAGGTTAAAGCCCACATCTCTAGGCTCAAACCCAGCATACCACTTATTGGACCTAAGCCTCTACAGCCTCTGTAGTACTGGGATTTCCTTTTGGTACATTAAGATTCTTTTTATGTAAGGTGTAACTTGTAAGGGGGTTGCAGACTGGATGCTAATTGTGCCCTTGACATAGCTAAGCATAATTAAGAGCTTTCTCCTCTGATTAGAGGAAGATGCCTGAATTTAAATGTGAGCCATGTGTGCAGGATGACAATATGGCCATGCCCTTCTTTTTAGGAGTTCCAAGACCTCTGGCCTCATTTGTCCCTGGTCATTGATGGGGGACCAATTGGAGATAGTCAGAGCCCCGAGTGCCGCCTCGGCTCTACTGTGGTTGACTTATCTGTGCCTGGAAAGTTTACCATTATTCGCCCGGGCTGGTAAGGCTCTTTCCTGTGCCACGGGGGTTTGTGAAGGAAGTTGGAGAAAGAGGAGCTTTAATGTACCGAGTTGATTCCCAGCTTGCATTGTTTGAGGGCGGGGAGGCAGTGAGGAGGCTGGGACTAAATTTGCTGCTATGGCGGGCTTTTTAGGGTTCAAGTTTGATGAACAGGGCATAGGACAGTAATCTTTATTGGCTACTCTTCAGACTGGTGGGCTCAATGCCATGAGAAGTCAGACTGTAACTGCCTTCTGTGTCTTCCTCAGTGCTCTGGAAAACACTACAACCATCCTTCAACAGAAATATGGGCTGCTCCCTTCACAGGGGTCCTGCTCATGAAGATTGGGAAGATCCGAGGATCATGCTGTGGATACTATGTGTCTGCTAACTGGTTAGCAAGGCCTCATTGGCAGAGGCTCCTGGAGCTACACATGTAGCCTGGCTATTTAGGGAACATCTCTCTCTCTGAACACTATAGGCCAGGAGCTGCAGGTTGAGCCTTGTAGGTTCTTATATCAACCAAAAATTGAACAAAGGTAAGAACATTCTTAGAAGCCTGGCAGTGGTGGCACATGCCTTTAATCCCAGCACTTGGGAGGCAGAGGCAGGCGGATCTCTGTGAGTTCGAGGCCAGCCTGCTCTACAAGAGCTAGTTCCAGGACAGGCTCCAAAGGTACAGAGAAACCCTGTCTCAGGGGGAAAAGAAAAAAAGAACATTCTTAGATCGGCCTTACTATTTTGAGACCTTTAAAAGTCAAAAGTAAATTGAGAACAGAATTAGAATGTATTAAGAGCTTGTTTCTGGTGACAGTGGCACTTCATGTTGAGCCAGCTAGAAGCACTAGTGTGTTCTAGAAGTCTCAGGACCAATGCAGGAAAGTCCAAGAGCCCAAG